ACCTTTTATGAATACATGTTTTTTCATGTATAATTTTTGACATGTACACAAATTATCATAACAATCATTTTGCATTGTTTCTATTGCATGTATTGTATCACCATTATTATTATTAAAAATACTAAAAAAACTGGTTTTTTTATGTTGTGATTTATATATTTATTATATTTATTGTGGCAATATATATTTTTGTTGTATTATTTGTTCATAGTTTTATATTTTTTTACATTAGGTATATTATATTATTTGAACATTTTGTGTTGTATGACGTTCAAAATGCATATATTTTATTAGTACAGTACTATAGTGATTAAACCATTTTTGAAAGTCCATAAATGATTGGCTGCCGTTGGATTCGCAAAAAAGATAGAAGATGAACTTGAATCTTTATGGCTTTATTTTGTGGATACTAAAATTAAATCGAAACTGGTTGTTAAGTCGTAATTCAAATATGTTAGGTATTTTTTTTTTTTTTTATTAGCTTTTAGTAACAACTATTAAGCTCGACAATTATTTATACGTCATTACATCATAGTTAATTAACAATAAAGAAAATAGTAATTAAATATCACATAAAGTTGTCATAATAATATTTAAGATACACATAACTGATAAGTGATGTTACCGAGATAATATTATTGGTTAAATTGGTTAGGAAAGAGAAAAGAAAAAGAATATAATAATAATTGTATAGATAAGGATAAATGGATTTCATTATAGGTAGAAATAGTAAATTGTTGGTAATTAGTTGTGGTACTTATGGAGAGTGTTATGTGAGTTATGAGGTTAGGTATTTACCTACCACATTATAAATTATACATTCGGAAAAATTAGAAGGATAAAAAACAATATCAAATGTTTTCACCCCAAATCAACATTTCTGACTATTGGTAGTTATACCTATGCAATGTTACACCAACACATTCCCAAGTGTGATGTGAAAAGAAACTTCGGAAATCAATGTTAACTTATCTTTTATTATTTATGTATTATTAGCTTCACAAATACATAAACTGTAAGACGTCGATTAAATTACTATAGGTAAGTTATTGGTTAACATAATATTCAATTTTATATAGAGAAAAGCAACCGAATTTTAACTAAGTTGAGTTGCTTTTTTTTCTAGTTAACCTATTCATTCATGTCATATATACAGTAGTTATATATAATGCAATGATATCATCAAAAACACATACTATTTTATAGGTATTATAATATTTTTCTAGCCGCTTTAATTAGTTCACCTAGCTACTTTTGTCCGTACAATTAAACAATAATATTATAATTTATAAACACAACAATTGTATGCCCACGTTTCAAAAACGCTTTCGTATTAAGCTCAAATATATTTGCGGAAAATGGGAAATCTCATGATTCAATTTTCTCGCCTCACCGTATTTCTTCGCAGATGATGTATTATATCTGTGTTGATATTATTCACTCGCTTTCTTAATAATATATTTTATGGGACCTATACCTACCTACAGTGGCGGCGTGATAGGGTGTTTCATGAGGCAATTGTCTCACGACCAATTAACGTGGTGGTACCCCCGGGAACGGATATTAAAAACCACATATGGAATATGGTCAACTAATACCATTAGTATTAGCAGTATTACTTTAACCTTACGTTTACTGGAAATAAACTATTATTTATAGTGCATGTTGTATAGTGTGCAATAACGCAGTATATTGGTGCCATTGTGGTAACACGTAACACTATCATAGATAATATTGTATCATTATTTTATTTATCTATTAACAATATTTCCCCTTCGTTGGTTGGGCTGTATGCAGCACTGGTGGATCGTGGATGCACGTAATATTGAAGTAATGACGAATTGACGGTTATGTTACTTTTAACTTTAAAATTTTATTAAGTATTGTTATTTGTTGTTCATATTCTGGAGACAATAAATGCATGGGTAGCGACGTAGCGTTCTCTTAAGAAAAAATTCCCATAAAGCTCGCTTATGTTTTTTATTTTTAATTTTTGTAGCAATTTATAATTTGTCATAATATTTATTACAATAATACCCAATAAAATAATAAAAAACTAATTAAAATTTTCTCAATGGTAGGTAAAACTGATAAAGTCAGTAACAGATAAAGATTAACTACTACAAGCGAAGACCGATTAGAAAGTTTGATGATTTTAAACAGTAAAAGAGATATAAACATAGATTATAATTTGGCCATTGATACTTTTGCAGCAACATCAGATTTATTGAGGGACAATTTATTGTTTAAATAAAGATTTATTGTTATTTATATATTATAAGTAATTTTATTATATTTCTGATATTAACATGACAAAGTATATTACTGTTGTAGAATTGTGAATTTGGGGGTGTGGGAAAAAATTTAGGTGGTGGTGGTGGTCGAGCATTTATACTTGCCTCATAAATTAAAATAGTTCACGCCGCCACTGCCTACCTACCTATATTTGAAAGAATAAATAAATTTTGACTTTTCGAGTGACGGTCGATGTAAAATATTATATTGAATGATTAGATCTTCCCAACCCAGTTATGGTTGTTTACACGAAAAAACCTCCCGTGGTGTGCTAAAACCAGAATTTCGAAACACACTGGTTATATGATAAAATCTTATTTTGGAAAAAAAAATTAGTCGAAATTTAATATTTGTAAAAATATTCTATAAATCATTAATGTTTTGTACAAGTATCAAAGTTAAACAAACCAGTGAAAAATATACAATTTTTGAGTGAATTTAATTTTTAAGCCCCGAGCAACTACGGATCATGAAACCAAATTTACACTGCGATCATAGGTATATATTGTGTACTGCATTCAATTAATGACGAGCTAAAATGAATCTTTTTATAAGGGTTGAGATCATGTACCTCGTTGATAAAAATATGTAATATAATTTTTTCTCTTTTGAGTGTATTTTCAATGTTGAATTACCTACCTGTACATAAAGAATAAAATGTATTATTTTGCATTGTCAACAATTTACTTTCATATTAATTGTAAAGGCTTTTAGGTGAGTTGTAAAACAAACTTGGCAAAGTTCAAATTCTGAATACGTCTTAAAATGTGTTTGGTACTTATTGCACCTTGCAATTTAAATAATATAGTATATCATAATTATATAGTACTCACTAAATATATTTTTAATAATAATAATATGATTTACTACACACTTATAGTACGTAGGTCGTAGGTAGCGAGTAACGTCGACTATAGTGACAAACTGACAACTAACGATGTACATCATTGTATACTATTATTTATTATACAACAATATATTATTTTATAGATCGGATCAAGCAGTAGATTCACTGGTGTATTATGGTCGATTTTTGTGACAATATAACTATAACAATAAAACAATACACAACAATATAATATGTTTCTGCAAGTACTTACAGCAATTTTTTTAGTTCTGAACCGAGCAAAGATTGTATGGATTTTACAATGATTAAGGGTTTTTTATTTGCTAGCGACTGAAGACAGTAGAAAAAATGCTTCAATCATCAACTTAGGGGGAGGTTGCTGATTGAAAATCTCGGATCTAGATTGTTTGAACATCTTTAAATTTTTACACTAAAAATCGGGTATGTGGATGTCTCTCTGGCTCTCTGCTGTATATTAGGTGTGTATAAGAGGTCGTTGTAATAGAGCGTATTAAATTTGAATTCAGTGATATCGAATCATTGTGTACGAAAAACGGTTCTGAGCGGAGACGGTATGTCAGTTTGGGCTATTTTATATTGTTATTACTTATGATTAATATGGTAACCGGTAAGTTGAATTAATATTAGTTAGTATTAGTTAAACAATGTACCTATTTGTTCATACCTGTTCTGAAGATTTGCTGTATATGTCGTCACTTGTCGTTGTAATTGTCTTTGTCGTCGTAATTTTCTTCATTGACGTCGCATTCATCATCGTCGTTGTCGGTTTGGTCGAACGTATGCTGTGTAACTATGCTGTTCTAGTAATTCGATAGATTTCTTACAGTTTTAAATAAATGTAAGTAGGTATGTATTCAAATCAAACCCTATAAGCAGGCCATGACGAAATCCAGCAGTATAATTATTTCTGTGTATTGATTAGCTAATAATAGGTGAACATAAATTGAATAATATAAATAATAAGTGATCATAAAATAAAGTCACAAAACATTGATTAAACCACTGTTTTTTTCCGAAGTTTTTTTCTTGGGCACATAATATGTTAGAACGACGACGCATAGGTATAACTACCAATATAATATTAAATCTTTTTTGAGATAAAATAGATTTTGTTATTTTATTACTCTTTTTTTACCGATCACATATAATATAATGTGGTAGATATTCTTAATTATAGATACTTGCAACTTGCCTAACTTACGGCTTACCAACCAGATTCAACTTAATTTTGTAGTTGTCCGCAAAATAAAAGTATCTGATTCGCGTTGTATGTCAGGTATTTATGGACTTACTAAAAATGATTCGACCACTCAAAATTGTACGTAAATGTTTTTATAACATAATAATATGTATTTTGAACGTCTAACTACGCAATAATGTTCAAACGATATAGCATATGAATAAATATAATACTATGAACAAATAATACAACAAACTTATTGCATAAAAAAAATGTATATTTAATCACAAACAAAGAAAAACCGTCAGGTATATCATGTTTTAATACACGAAGTCACGAAATGTAAAAAATGCAAAACAATCGTTATTATAGATATATGAACTTATCTATCATGCATATCAAAAACAAAATATTAAAAAATTGAGTAGTTACATCAAAAAGTATATGATCGAATACATGATAATATATATATTATATATTTATATACCTATGATATTTTTCGAATGAAAAAAAAGTTTATAGTTTATTAGTTTGTTATTCGTTATCTGAATAAAATACATTTTGTAAACGAGTAAGAAAAAAATAATGTACATTAAAGTGTGCATACAAATACAAAGAATTAAAAAAAATATATACGTACGAAAAAAGTTCATAAAAAATGTGCAAACCATCAATCTGAAACGTTAACGGTACTCCAAATAGTGCAGGCTGACTGTGGTAACTACTGGTAATACCAGCATAGAAGGTTGAACATAAATTATTCCACGTTCACAATACTTTGGCAGAAACATATTCTACGTGCCACGTTCACGAAACATTTCCAGACCCGTCTTTTGGACCTCTTCCAAAGTGATCTGCGTGCAGGTCCACTTGGGATTTCAGTCATTTTTGACTGCACTTGCCGGATAGTGTTCACTCCGCCATACTTGGGTGGGAGAATATTGATCTCTGGAGATGACTGGATATGAAGTGCAAGTTTATGCCGTAGTTGCATTGGTCCGCAGAAAGCTTCGATCCTGCGATCGACGGCCAGGTCCATCGCGTCGATCAGTGAGGATCGGTGATGGAGTTGCACTGGTGTTGGTGTGGTCTAATAATATGATAAAATAAAAAGTGTAAAATTCTTAAAGACTAAAATCATACAATATAATATTCTATGTACATACCCGCTCTGGAGATCTGCTGCAGTGTATGTCGTCGTTGTCATCATCGTCGCCGTCTTTATCATCGTCGTTGTCGTCGTCCTTTCCATCATCATCATTGTCATCGTCATTTCTATCATCGTCGTTGTCGTCGTCATTTCCATCATCGTTGTTGTGGTCGTCATCTTCATCATCTTCATTAGTCTCAATAGTCTCATTATAGTCGTCATTAGTGTTATCGTCGTCGTCGGTCTCATCGTACATCTTTTGTTCAATAAAAACAATTGACCCATCATGGGCAGTAGTGTTGTAGTTCCGTTTTCCGTTATCTCCAATGTTTCCAATTTCCGATTCGTTTGTAGTTGCCAATTTCTCAAGCCGGTCTTTTGTCCCCATATTGTTCCCACGAGTAGGCATGAAATAAAACGTCGCACTGCGGCAGTGCAGCGTACCGCAGTGAAGGCAAATACTGTGGGGGGTGCCAAGTCCCCACAGGTTCCACGTGGACACACACTGACCTCTGTGCCAAGTACTCCCCCTTCACGCGTTTGGGGGTTGAGGGGTTTTTTTTCAGGGTTGTCCTTCCCTTAGGGCATTTGCTCAGCGCGAGCAGGCTGCCTCCGACCTTACCGGCCCTTTCTCCTATCACCTATTCAGAGAAAGAGCCGACTCAGAATTTTTTATCGTGGTTTTCCTTCCACTAGGGCTTTGCTGGCGCTAGCAGGCTACCTCCAACCTGCCGACCCCAGCCAGTTAAGGCGAGGGCGGCTCTTGAAACTCCGGCTCCAACCGATTAAGGTCACAGCCGGGTTGGGACCACTTGGTAAGACCTAGTTAAAGGCCCGCAAGCTCCCCCACCACATCAAGGTGGATCCCGTCGGGGGAGTTCGTTTGTAAGTAATGTTATTTAAATAATAGTATTTTACAATAAGTTATAAATTAAACACTAAAATAGGTTAAATTAAATTTAAATTAAAAATTAAATTCAAAGTTATCTTTCGCATTGTTATAATAAAAGCACAGTCTATAATGTTTATTACACTTGTACGCAAGGATGAGCATTAATGAGTTGAAAACTTGAAAAGTTAATTGAATGTAAACTTTTTAATTTAATTAATTATTTTTGAGTTTCCGTCTGTTTAACTATTAATAAATATATTTAATAAGCTATTCATTATAGTACTCACTCATAGTGGAAACGAATCCTGATTTCCAATAATTGTGATGAATTAAAAAAAAATAAGGTTAGCACTAATATCCACTAAATTGGTAATCGGTATAATTATAATAATAATAATTTATTTGAAATCAAAAACAGTATACCTACTAACAAAACAATTTTATATTAATGAATTAAAATATTGAATTCTCGAAAATATATAACATTTAAGTATATAATTGTACATGGTTCTCTGTTTTTATTATAAATAAATAAATATTACAAACAGCTAAGCTTGCTATACAGAATGAGTGATATTGTTCAAAAACAATTTAGAAGAAATATGTTGATACAGCAAAAACTTTAAAAAAAATGAATAAAATGTGTATAAAGATAATGAAAGAGCAAAATATGAAAAAAAAATACCTAACAAAATTACATTTTATAAAATCATGATTATAACATCCTTATAAACTAAAATATAATAAGATGAAGTTGTTGTTGATTATTTTAACTAAGCTACACAGAATAATCTTAATGTGAAAAAGAATTTAAATAGGTAATTAATTTTAAATTTCTTAAATCAAGTTCAAAATATTTAAGTACTACTAGATACTTATAACCGACATTTCTACATATTATCTTTTAAAATATATATTCTATTTACATTTTTTAAATATTCTGTTTCTAGAAAATTATTATCAAATCAAGCTTTCTATATAATTGATACACTGATTCGCTAAGTTTTACAATATTCATCAATATTGTTATGTTCAATTATAACCAACTTATCGCAGTCAGTAATACAAATAATATTTCCTTTAATTTTTAGTTTAATAAACCTCTTGCGTGAATAAGAAACAACAACACCCAAGACGACTGTTTCTAGAGGTATTCCAAATATTTACATTAAATTAATTAATTATATGTTCTTCAATTTTAATAATTTACGATCTATTTGAAATGTAAAAAAATATGAAAGTCACAAATCTAATTCTTAAATCAAAAAATTGCGATTCAAAGAATCAAAACCTTTTTTTAAATCTTAAAATAAACCAATAATCATATTATTACCATTATTATTACCTACTAGAAAAAATAAAATTTGAAGTTAATAACAGTGCATTTTTTGTTGATTTGTGTTTCCGGAAACGAAATTACTTTCAGAAAAAAATATATGTAGAAAGTATCTATAATTATTTGTACATTGTTCAATATCATCTGATTTAATACTATGGCTAGGAACGATTGATAACGTTACAGGTCTATTATTATCTTTTAGCTATAGAACGATTCACTGAATGTGTAAAATTAATAAATAAAATGTGTAATTAAATTAATATTCTTGAAAAAGTCAAGAAAAATTTTAATTTTGGAAGAAAAATAGAATGTTCTCTATCTTACAAATCGTTTTTTAATATTCTTGAAAATGTGGTTTTAAACCGTAGATGTAGGTATAATAACTGTTCTCAATCGTACTTTACCGAACAATTTCGTTTTGATTACGTTTCAGGTCGTAAGTACTTACCTATGACGGTCATCATCTCCATCGTCTGATCGCCGTCGCTAGCAGTTCATTTTTAAAGATATTTATAATAATAGGTAGCGACTCGAAGTTGCAAAAAGAAAAATTGTTTTTTAAAAATAATTAATGTAACACATTCCATAAAATAAACTGTTTTTTTTAGCTAAACTAAATAATTGTAAGAATTGTTTATTATTCGACGTCGATACCGACTTGCCTGGAAACATCTATGGTTGTCGCGTTTGATTTTTATTTATTTTCAGCCAGCGACTATTTTTTACTAAGGTATTTTTCCATAGACTCACGCTCGTAACAAATATCGACTATAGTATTATTTAAACTTTACGTAAATATCTGTGATTTACTAAATTACACTAAATTTAATTATTATGCATTAATTAAATTATATTTTAATACTTATACCTATGTAATTATGCACCTACCTATGTGATAACGCACATAATTATTACATTTTGATGCTGTGACAGCATCAACAATGTCAAATGTCAAATGTAAATTTATAATATTGTGTTTTATTACTCGCATATTTTAGGGTTTAATTTGCAAAAAAGATGTTTAAGTTTGTCCGTACGTCGGTGACTTGAGTTGTAATGCCACCTACTACAAAATGTCTTTATCCATCACGCATAACTACTCGATTATTTCAATAAATTATGTATGTAAGATACCTCTTTAAATATACTTACAATTATAAGACAAAACATTGAATGCTTATAAAGAATATTCTTTGCATTAGTTTTTGTTTTACTTGCTATGGACTGGCGTCCCGCGACACACTTTTAAAGGTACTTCCGGGGCAAATTCTGGTGTCTTAGACCAGGTACAGGTTTTACACAATATGTCAATATTAAGCAATATAAGCAATTACCTTTACTATATTTTAACCAAGCCTATTTTGTTTACTTTAAATACTGTAATAAAATTTAGCCACGCTTGTGATCAATAATTCAACGGTGCATATAGTAATCTTGTGAATAACACAATCAATTTTCGACTATACACATGACAACGTCCAGGATATGCACTCGGGAAAGTCGTATAATTGGGGCGTGGGCCGTTAGTATTTCCCAGTTCGAATGTCGGCGGACACAGCATCCGTGGGAACAATAATCGTATCTAGAGGGCTGGGAGAAGTAGATTGTAGACCTATATAGGAGACCCCCGAAATGCCCATATTCAGATGTGATTTTACGAGAAGAGCCAGAGCACTTTCACGCTAGTCAGTCTTTTGGTTTTATTATTTGGACTTAGAAAATATTCAAATCAACTCGATATATTTCTGAGCACTCTGAATAATACATTGTGACCAGTATTCCAGTGCAGATTATTCTAATCACAGTTTAAATTACATTTGTTTTATATTCTAAATAAATACAACTTCATACCTCAAGCGTTGCAAATTAATTAAATATACACCTCATCCTATTCCATTCAACGACACCTGTAGTCGCTAGACCACTATATTACGTAAGAATATTTATGAAATATTGATTGGATCGAATGATTTTTAGCTTCAACAAAACACAGACTATAGCTCTTCATCTATCGTTACAAGACTCACCCCGGGCACACTTATGCGATTAAGATGAGAGATATCATCAAGCTTCATTTGTGCCCAATCTTATATAAGTAAGACTCACTCACTGAAGACTCATGTGAGATTTCGCACTAACCGGAAGTATTAAGTTCACGGGTAGTGTGTCGTTCGTCTAGGCCGTGTTCCTTTCTTCGTGTAAAATATTTTAAATTGTTCAATGTTTAAAATGTCGGGCTAGACGTAGGGAAACTATTTTCACCCAAACGGAACTAACAGTTGCAGCGTTACGTCCAACTTGTTTTGTTTCTACCTCCTAGCCGTCGTACTTGTTTTTTTACGACGGTTGAACACCAAAACCGATGACGTTTGCCCTTGAGACTGTCAAGTGTTCAATTGTGCACTCAAAAACGTGATAATGTACTATACACATGACATATGTCCCTAAACATAGTGCAAATTACTAAACATAGCTTTTCTGGACTATGTGGAAAACCGCATATGTAACTTTACAATTTTAAGATCAAACTCTTTGGAACTAATTAGTAATAGTTTATTATATCAGATTAAAAATTTCGATTGTCATATTAAATGTATTTATTTATTTCCGTAGACTCGTGCTAAGGTGTCCAAAGTTGAACATCAACGGTTGCTGACAAATGTTGACGTTGATGATTTTTTGTCCGTTTTACACAGTAAAAAATAAAAATATATAAACTGTTACCGCAATTTATTTTTGTATACATATTTAATTAATGTCAATTTTATATTATTATCTACACCATGTTTAAACAAATTAACATTCACTCGTTTGATGTCTGAGTAAAGTGGTTATGAAAGTAGGTAAATGCAATTTGCAGGTACCTGCTACTCATAACTCATATTTTGTACTCGGAATAAATTGCACTAGTTATACATTTTAGTTAGTGTATTATAATGTGTACAAACATAATTAAATTATTTATGAAATTATTTGTTATTTAGTTTTTATACTGTTATGAATTATTTATTGTAAGTGACTTATACTGAATATTATAATGGTAATATGATTATATTATTTTATTATATTGTCATTGACTTAATTTTTATAGATCACCAGACTATGACTATAGTCATACAATAATAGACTACATAGGCGTATTGGAAACCCGACGTTTTCACATTGCACACCCACACACACTTCAGCATCGGCGTTAAAAATTCAGACGAAAAACCCATCCGAATTTACCATTCGCTAGTACCCGGCCGAATAATCACTGACCGGGGCACCTGTTTCACAAGTAGAACGTTTGTAGAGTTCTGTCGGCAACGAGGGATTAGTCACATCCTCAACTCAACTCGGCACTCGCAGGCGAATGGGCAGGTTGAGAGGGCGAACAGAACCATACTTCCACTGCTCAGTATGATGTCCGACGACCAACAGCATTGGGACGTTCGTTTGACCGAATTGGAGGGACATCTCCATTCGGCCGTGAGCTAGGCCTGCAGTAGCAATAGTCTCCGTTCGAGGTGCTGCACGGGTACAGCCCTCCGGAACCACGGCAGCGTTATGTTCGACCATAGTCACACCCGCGACGATTGCGCCGACCCGAGCTTGCAACAGGATCAGGCACGACCAGCCATCGAGCAAGGTCAGTCCCGCATGAA